AAGTACGGGGTCACGCGAAGGGCCGAGGTTTCGTTTGGGTTCGGTGCCCAGATGTCACTTACTTTAGTGTCTACCTCACTCCCAACGAGGCCATCCGTGAATTTCGTGAGAAGATAGACCGCCTGGAAGAGAGCGTCGAGGGTGGGGATTTTAATGCTAGGGCTGTCGAGTGGGGAATGACCCTCATCAATTCCCGGGGCAAGTACATTCTGGACTTATGGTTAATCAGCATGCGTATGTCCAACGATCACATAAGACCAATAGATGGAGCATGTTGGCCGCGACGTGAAGCCAGTATTTTTCACTAATCTACAACAAGATGGCGGCTGCCGGCTGTGATGAGCTCTAGTAGCACGCGCAGCTAATTAAATGTTAGTTGATAGCAATGGTATCCATGACAATACGCCTTTGTATTACAAATATTTGTGTTACTAACACAATGACCTTCAAAATACGCTTTTGATTTTTTTTCTAGCGTTTACCGTTTCTTAGAAAAAGTTAGTTTACATAATTAACAACAAAAACTTTTTGGGCGAAAGGAAAATTCTGAAAAGCTACAAATCTGATTATAATATATGTATCTACATCGTATTAAAGTTTGATAAAGTTCTGATGTTTGGTTTACAATCTACGAATTTTCAAAGTGACAAGATAATTTCTGAAACTCTTAAAGAAAAACTCTCCTATATTCTGACTGTCATATTAATTTTTATGAAAGAGCTATAAAATATTAAATTTTAGATGAATACAAAGAATAAAACGAAGAAAAGTTATATGTAATCCGTGTTTTTCTAATTAGTTTAGTAACTTTCCTGTATAGCTCCAAATTTGAGTACGGTATCTAAACTGTATTACAAGTGACGTTGTAGGCAGAATCTGCCCGCATGACGCCACGCGGCGCGGCGGGTAGCCCCTATATTACAATTTAAATTACAACCAAACTACGCCAGATAAAAATTTAAAAAAATATGATCCAAAAAGTTCAAATCTTTAGCTACAAAATCCACCGTTTTTTAACTTACCTGACCAAAAAATAAAAAAAAGTAGCAGCCGACGAACTTTTTCATGTCATATTTTAAAACTCATTTAAAAGTACCGACTTTATTTGAAGATTTAAAATAGAAAATACTAACTTTTAAGCTTTTAATTAAAACCAATAGTGTCATAGACTTATTGACTTCACTCATACGAAGTTTCAACCATATAAAGACATAACCTGTATAAAAGATAAACAAAAATACATTACATAGGCTGGATCATTTCAAGTGTATGACATACATAAACATAGCAAATTAGGTACAGGCTACTAAAATACGTGCAATAAATAAGAATGAAAGTGAATAGCAGGCATAACATGCAAAATACATAACCAGCAAATGATATGGCACATAAATAACAACAGCAGGAAAAATATATATACAGGGTGTTCATTTGAAAACTTTCTATATCTTTTGTGTGCAAAGGTAAGGCTTTTAGCACTTGTTTGTTCTCATTTCTCCCTAGTTTGGACATGCCAAATCCAATAAAATTATTTTTAATTTTGTAAAATGCCCCAACAGGGCCCGAATCGGGAGGGGGTAGGAGTGCTTTTTGAAAGGTTTTTAAATGTAAACATCAATTGTGTGATACTTAAAGGTCTAATTACCCCCGATCAAATTGGTGCAAAGAAACTAATTATCTTTAACCGTATTTACAGGGTGGGCCAAAACGTTTTATGACTTTGAAGTTAACTACCGGAATACCCTAACTACCGAACGGAACAGCGCCAAATTTCTTTACAAGCTTATTCTTGAACTACTCTTAAAGATAACTTGTAGTAAGGGCATTTTCATTGTTATTTTCTAATTTAAAAAATGTCAAATTTGAAGAATAAAAGAAAGCTAATACTGTAACTCAAAGTTCTTAAATAGTAAGGTATAACAAATTTCATATCATGTCCTTTTTAAACAAACATTTTACGAATTTAAGTTTTCTTTCTATCTCTTACAGTTTAAACATTGTATTAGAAAAACATAGCTTTCTATGGTAAAATTGTAACTGGTTTTCTTTAAAAAAAAAACAGCCTAAATCCGTCTTTTAACATTTAACATTTAGTGGTGCATTAACTGAAGGAAACAATTAATAATTATTGATAGACAGATAGACACACAAGTTATTACGTTTAACTTTGTAATAAACTGTATATGTTAAAAAATTGGACAAATTGTGTTTTTGGCCTCTGGGGACATGATAATGAAAAATTAAATCGGCCCCGGGCCTATGTGTTACCGGATTAAAACATTATTATCTAACTTATTGCATACGTCCACGTTTTTCGTTTTAAATCTTACAAGTACTTATTCTCCCCACATATTTATAAATTGTTTGTATTTTTTAGTCTTTAATGTGTAAATATTTTAAATATATTTTATGTAGCCTGTTAATACATCAATTGTTAGGTTATCTTGTATGTTTTGTTCTTGAAATCTTGTTTTCCAGTTTTTTCAATAGTTTATGTGTCATATTAAAAGTTCCACAAACATTTTATAATATTGATTGTACACCATTTAATTATAATTATAAGTATAGGCTAATATTGCAAAGTGGAATCTAATTTATTTATGCAGTTAGTAACATTGAAGCAAATTGTTGATTTATGGATTAAATACGCTTTCCATTTATTTGCTATGTATTTTTCTATAGAAATATTTATGCGCATTAGTTCGGTGATGAGTGGCTTAATATAACAAGTATGCACTATTTTGTCATGACTACGTTGTCACAAAGGTGTCATCACCCTTCAAACGACATCCAGGTATGCGAGGGTGAGTTCATTCCCTAGTACGGAGAATATAGATGACAGCCAACAAATGCCCACTCATTCCAAAAGTTCAAATACTTCGAATGACCCTACAACCCACATCGCAAATTCCAGAGTCCTTATTTAGTTCTTTCGAATATCGTGGATTCCCGTAAATAGTTTGGCGATGCGTAACACCCGATCCAAGATTCCTTCCGGGGGTTTGCCATCCTGTTATGACAAATGATGGGAGAAATAACCTAACTGTGTTACTAGTAGCCCGGTATATTATTTAGCTTTTAGCTAATTCTTTGTATTCCACGTAACAGTTCACACAATTTCGATCATATATGGTCGATTTGTATTTTAAAAAGCAAGACTGGTATAAGCATTTTTTTTGTCAAAATGGTTTTCTGAGTGTAGGTATCAAGTTTAATAAAATATTTTCGATTAAGTCATAAGTCATTTATTCAACCACATTTACATCATCCTTATACTACATGCCATAGCTATTTACATTTGGTTTACATTCAATTTTTTTTTATTCACCCATTATGACCATTACTTTCCGTCATCAATAAACTCATGGACACGGTAGTAGCATTTAGATATTACGGTACTAATTTTCGGAAATTTATTTGCAACATTCATTTAGTTTAAAATGAGGTAATTATGAGGTTTATAATTACAGCACTCACTACTTTGCTCACTTATAGATTAGAAGATCCCAATGGTGAGCATAACTAATTAACACAGTGCATAAACTTAATTTAATCAGCAAACTGTATTTTGTTTCACTCGTACGGTGCGGCGTCTCAAATTATTGATGACGGAAAACTGGTTTACGTACGAGGATGACATTATATTATTTCCCGCTAAATGCTCTGTTTTACATTTACACATTGGTTGTATGTTTAGTACATTTTTCAAAATTTTGCAAAAACCTGTACTTTTAAATATTTTTGAGTTATTTTTTTTTGTAATGTTTTATTGATACAATATATCAAAAACCACCAATGACAAAAGTTGTAGAACGCTTCAAAATAACTTGGCATTTAGCCAAATTAGACAAAAGGTAAATCGTTGAAACTTTGTTAGAGTGATGTCAATAAGTCTATTACACTCCGCATTCTAATATTATAAGCTTGAGAGTTGATATTTTCTATTTTAAATCGTCAAATAAAGTCGGTACTTTTAAATGATTTTTAAAATATGTCATGAAAAAGTTCGTCACCTACTACTTTTTTTTATTTTTGTGTCAGGCAAGTTTTAAAACGGTAGATTTTGTAGCTAAAGGGTTGAAATTTTCGATCATATATTTTTTTTTAATTTTTAGTTTGGTTGTAATTTGAATCGTACTATAGGGACTTACTCGCCGTGCCACGTTGGGTTATGCGCGTCCTCACCTTGCCCTCACTTGTAATACAGTTTAAATACTCATGTTTGGAGCTTTATAGAAAAGTTACTAAACTAATTAGAAAAACACGGAGTACATATAAATTTTCTTTGTTTTATTCTTTGTATTCATCTAAAAATTAATATTTTTTGCTCTTTCACAAAAATGAATATGACAGTTATAAAGGAGAGTTGTATAAAGAGTTTCAGAAACTATCTTGTGGCCTTGAAAATTCGAACATTGTAAACCAAACGCCAGAACGTTATCACACTTTAATACGATATAGATACTTAGGCTTTATTATAAATTAATTTGTAGCTTTTCAGCATTTTTCTTTCCCCCAAAAAGTTTGTGTTGTTAATTATGTAAACTCACTTTTTCTAAGAAACGGTAAACGCAAAAAAAAATTAAAAGCGTATTTTGAAGGGAATTGTGTCAGTAATAGAAATATTTATAATAAAAGGCGTTTTGTCACGAATATCATTGATATAGAAAAAAAAAAACACTATAAGAGGTTCGTGGGATATGTTTAACTATGTAAAATTCCCATACATACAGATATAAGGACTATAGGTTTAAGGACCTATGTTTACGATTTTTTTTCTTTTCTGACCCAAGGAACAGTACCCAAAAGTATCGGAACGAATTCTGAAACATCTTGCATATATCATATTATTGCGGCTATATGCAATACTGAATACAAGTATGTAATGGAAATTCGCTGAGTAAACAGGGTTTCTGCAACGGGGTTATTTATTTTTTTTGTTGATTCGCATAGTCTTCGTTTGCTGACTCTTTACTGCAGGTACTGTGGGTTATACTGTCTGTATGTTTTGCAGTACTCAGATCCTTCGATCCTGACTGAACATACGCACCCTCCTGATTTGGCCGAGCAAGAAGTGGAAGAGATGCGGTTGGACATGAGGCAGCGAGTTACCGACAGCAGAGCAGTTCCTGTTGATGTGGTCGCGACGGCTCTCCACAACGCCACCGACGAAGCTAAGATGTCAGCGGGAAAAATATCTAGCATCAAGAGAGACATCCGTAGGACTAGGGAGAAGAAGTTCCCACCATTGCCAAAAAGTGTCTCTGACTGGGAAATCCCTGATGAGTGGAAGACGACTGGAGGAGCATCGCCCAAACCTTTCCTTATCCATGATTCTGGCACTGGATCACCTTCGCGGCTTGTAGTTTTTGGAACTGAAGAACAGTTACATTTCTTGGCGGGATCAGAAACATGGTTTATGGATGGTACATTCAAGATGTCATCTAAGCTGTTCCAGCAAGTGTACGTGGTGAGAGGAGAACAAAACACCCAAGTCCGGACATGCATTTACGCCCTGATGACAGGAAAAACCACGGAAATGTACAAGAGTCTGCTAAAAACTATTTTGGGAAAACTAGTAGACCTTGGCCAGCTACCCAGACCAAAACAAGTAATGGTGGATTTCGAATCAGCCGCCATGTCCGCAATATCGTCCGTTCTTGGTGACAGAGTAGAGGTTAAGGGATGTTTTTTTCACCTGTGCCAAAGTACATGGCGACATGTTCAGCAGCACGGACTAACGAAAAAATACAAAGAAAACGATGATGTTAAACTCTATTGTGGCATGATCGATGCCCTGGCATTCCTTCCGCCCAAGGACGTGATTGAAGGTATGGCTTTCTTGTGGGGATCATCTCCTTTTGATCTGTACGAGGTATTGCATTACTTTGACGCTACTTATGTCAGCGGTGTGACAGGAGAACGTCCCAAACCCCCCCTCTTCCCACCAGAAGTTTGGAATGTCCACAAAGCTACAATGGAGGGCTCGCACCGTACTAACAACGTTTGCGAATCCTGGAATAACAAATTTAACACGCTCGTTGGCCACCATCATCCGACCATCTGGACCATCCTGGAGGCCATTCAAAAGGATGAATCCACAGAACGTGCCTACCTGCTCGGAAGCCAACCAGAGGAGACCAGGAAAAAACTACTCTATTGAAGCACCAGGACAAACTTAAGAGACTCTGCCAAGAATACACTGCAGGAAACAGATCGATGGAAAGCTTCCTCCAGGGAATCGGGAGAACTATTAGGTTCCATTAGAAACTCATAAATGTAGTTTTCGTTGTTTGTTTGTAATTTATTGTTTTTTAACGTATTATTAACTCTTGTTTCCTTGTTCCTAAGTCATTAGCTTATGTTTATGCATATTCTTTTCATAACAGTGTAAGTGTTTTTTCAGTGTATATAAATAACGTAAATATTATTATTTCATTCATGTCTTCTTATATCTTTTTTAATTAGCCATTTTAATTTATAACAGTTTGATGAATCTTTATATTTCTCGATAAAGGATTATGTATACTCTTTGGAGAATACATTGTGGGAAGCAAAGCCAAGGATATTGGAAGAAAATCAAATTAAACTCGTAAATGTAGTTTTCGTTGTTTGTTTGTAATTTATTGTTTTTTTACGTAGGCCTATTATTAACTCTTGTTTTTTTAGTTATTAGCTTAATTATTATGTATGTTCTTTTCATAACAGTATAAGTATTTTTTCACTGTATATAAATAATGCAAATATTATTATTTCATTCATATCTTCTTATATCTTTTTTAATTAGTCATTTCAATTTATAACAGTTTGACGAATCTTTATATTTCTCGATAAAGGATTATGTATACTCTGTGGAGAATACACTACGGGAAACAAATCCAAGGATATTGGAAGAAAATTGTAGTTTTCGTTGTTTATTTGTTATTTATTGTTTTTTTTACGTAGGCCTATTATTAACTCTTGTTTTTTCCCCAAGACATTAGCTTAATATTTATGTATGTTAATATCATAATAATATAATTATTTTTTTACTGTATAACAAATAACGTAAATATTATTATTTCATTCATGTCTTCTTATATCTTTTTTAATTAGTCATTTCAATTTTTAACAATTTTATGAATCTTTATATTTCTCGATAAATAATTATGCATACTCTGTGTAGAATACACTGCGGGAAACAAAGCCAAGGATATTGGAAGAAAATTAAATTAGAAACTCGTAAATTTAGTTTTCGTTGTTTGTATGTAATTTATTGTTTCTTTTTGCAACGTATTATCAATTCTTGTTTTTGTTCTAAGTCATTAGGTTCTATTAGGTCCATTAGGTTCTACAAGTATTTTTTCACTGTACATATGTATATTATTATAATGTAAATATTTATTTTATCCATATCTTTAAATTAGCCATTTCAATTTTTAACAGTTTTACGAATCTTTGTTTTCTCAATAAAGAATTATGTATACTTACCTTGTGGTTAAATATTTTCCTGTCTTTACCAATGTTGACTTAGGATTTTTTTTATTAAAATACACATTCCAGGATATAATGTAGTAGCCCATGTTACTATTTCTGTGACTTAGTTTGAATTCTTAAGATGGATGTGAACAGAAAATGTATTTGCATAATATCTGTATAGTATATTAATCTCTTATATTACGTGAGGGCTGTTTTTTTACTGATTTTCGTGGAAAAACACATGCTGGGAAGAAAACTATACATTGAAACATAAAATTGTGTAAAATTTTTTGCTTAAATTTGGTGCGGTTATGCTTTTGAAGTTTTATAAAATTATACTCTATATAAATTGAATCATTGTCTGGAGGCTACAAAATGACACATAGCCTGTTATTTTTTGTCTATTTAAAGCAAATTTGTTCGATTAGTTTAATAATTATGGTTTAAGACTAGCAGGAAAACAAAGTTTTAGTCTAAGATTTGCAATACAAATCATATATCACGGATGTAAGCTTGGAATTAATTATCAAGGAGAAAATAGACAGATAGTCATAGCTAGTCTCAGTGGTTCTCCGCCCCTGGCAGGTAGAGGCGGAGGCCCGAGTGCCGTATATCTGTTTTTCGAAGCTTGACTGAAGATCCCAGGACTAATGAGGGCTAGGGAGGGGATCCTGAGTCAAGCATCGCCAAAATATTTTACGACCGACCCTTGTTCAGGCTACCCTGGGATCTTCAGTCCTACAATCAATACTTTTGACCCTTTGGAAGAATGCAAAACTTGATATTTCCTGTGATTGTTCCTGTTTCCACGATGGACCCATCGATGTATAATGACTGACTGACAGGAAATATCAAGTTTTGCATTCTTCCAAAGGGTCAAAAGTATTACCACCCCAAATATAGGTGCTAAATCTAAATTGTCAGATTCGGAATATGCAATGATTGTCAGTGCTATATGTTTTTTTTTAGAAGTGTGGGAGTGACGTTGGAGGTCCAAAGCCCTCATTAGAAAAGGTTATGGGAAATGGTTAATAATTAATAATAACTGCTGTTCAGTTTTGACTCAACAGTTCGCAGCCCATCTCTGCTCAGTGTCCAGGTGTTCAATTTGGCAACACTGTACGGGGTATGCGCCCAGTCAGAGCCGGTGGCGGTCTGGAAGTGCCGTATTCGGCCTCTGCACTATCCAAATTAAATGTTAACTTATATAAATAATATGCGTAACAATTTGGTTGATCAGTATCAATATTTCAAATACAAAACCAATCAAGGACAAGCTTTAAAACAAGCTTTTAAATTTTTTTCTAGCGTTTGTCGTTTTTGAGAAAAAGTTAATTTACAAAAGCTACAACAAAACCTTTTTGGTAGAGTGAAAATTCTGAAACTACACAAATTAATTCATTATACAGGGTGTCCCGGAACTCACTACCAATATTTTAGGGCATTGTTCCTGGGTAAGAAACATATCTAAATATCATATTTAAATTGTCCGGAAGTCCTTAGTTACTCAGATAGCCGCCATTTTGTTTTTTCACTTATTAATTTTTTTCTGAAAATTTGTTTAAACATACGAAGTTGAAACTTTGCACAAACATTTATGATAACTAGACAAAGCTACAAAAAAATTATGACGATTTTTCAAATTCATAAAACAAAATGGCGGCTGTTTAAAATTTTGTTTCTTAAATTACTCGAAAACCGTTGATTTTACAAAAATTTTACAAGAATAACTTTTTTAAGGCAATTTTATTACAAATCGCTCGACACCTTAATCTTTAAGATCGGACGAGTATTAACTGAGATATGGCAGTTTTAGTGATACGTGACCGCCGGATATTAGTTGCAGCGCATGCTGAAAGCGGTCACGTATCACTAAAACTGCCATAACTCAGTTAATACTAGTCCGATCTTAAAGATTAAGGTGTCGATCGATTTGTAATAAAATTGCCTTAAAAGAGTTATTCTTGTAAAATTTTTGTAAAATCAACTGTTTTCGAGTAATTTAAGAAACAAAATTTTAAACAGCCGCCATTTTGTTTTATGAATTTGAAAAATCGTCATAATTTTTTTGTAGCTTTGTCTAGTTGTCATAAATGTTTGTGCAAAGTTTCAACTTCGTATGTTTAACCAATTTTCAGAAAAAAATTAATAAGTGAAAAAAACAAAATGGCGGCTATCTGAGTAACTAAGGACTTCCGGACAATTTAAATATGATATTTAGATATGTTTCTTACCCAGGAACAATGCCCTAAAATATTGGTAGAGAGTTCCGGGACACCCTGTATATGTGTCTACAGGGTGATTGATATGTGTGCCAGCCGTTTTATTCGAAAACTATAAGAGATATCAAAAAAATTATAATGGTAAGTGCCTTGGATTTTTTATTTAAAAAATTGTAGTCAAGTCAAAAAAATCATTTTAGCCGCCATTTTTCTAATATGGCCACCAACTTTGATTTTTCTTATGGAACACCCTGTGTTTTATGATGTAATCTGGTAGAAAATGTAATTTTAAGACGATTTTATTCTTGTGATTTTTTTCATAAACCTAACCGTTTCAAAGATAATAATGGTTAAAGTTTTGAAATTTATGTATGAGAATGAGTTTCGTTAAAGGCCTAAGCGAGCATGCCAGCTGTTTTATTCGAAAACCATTGAAAATTTCAACACTTTAACCATTATTATCTTTGAAACGGTTAGGTTTATGAAAAAAATTACAAGAATAAAATCGTCTTAAAATTACATTTTCTACCAGAATACATCATAAAATACAGGGTGTTCCATAAGAAAAATCAAAGTTGGCGGCCATATTGGAAAAATGGCGGCTAAAATAATTTTTTCGACTTGACTACAATTTTTTAAATAAAAAGTCCAAGGCATTTACCATTTAACTTTTTTTGGTATCTCTTATGGTTTTCGAATAAAACGGCTGGCACACTTATATCAATCACCCTGTATATTGTATTGAATTTTGATAAAGTTCTGACGTTTAGTTTACATTGTGCGAATTTTCAAAGTCATAAGATGGTTTTTGATACTCTAAAACAGGGAGTTTTTACCTTCCGACTGTCATAAAAAAATTCCTAAACGAGCTAAAATTTCTTTGTTTTCACAGGAATACGTAGGATAAAACAACGACAATTTATATATACTACGTGTTTTTCTAAGTTAGTTTGGCCACTTTTCTGTAGAGCTCCAAACTCGAGTGTCTAAACTTTTTTCCCCGACAGTAGGAACGAGAATTTTCTAAAACATGATTTATGGCTAGTGCTTTTTTTTTATGAAATGGAGTTGTCGTTGTATACATTTCTAGACTATACATCGATGCATAGATTACTTCATTTATATAGGCTAAGGAAACATATTTTCAATATAAACATGAAACAACTTTATAAGGTGTTATATAAGGATACGTGTTATAGTTAAAATTGAGAACTTTTTTTAAAAGATAATGAAACATACAATAGGCTTATAAAAATTAACTGCAATACGTTCTATTCAATTGGTTATTACAATAACGCGGGAAAAGATAGATTTATATCACAACGTTGCAGGGCAGATGTAGTTTTACAATTTCATTACATCTAGTGATAATTTAGGTAGTTAAAAAAATATAAAAATAGGTTTTTTTGCATGAGATAAAACGCAATAATAAAATTAAACTATTCACACATAGTATTGACTAAGATATGTAGGTAAAAAGTATAATTATTTTAAATTATAGTTCGATTATACTTTATACTTTCTTATGAAATGGCGACCAGTTTTGCCCTATAGACCTAGAGAAAAATTGAACTGAACTTGTACAATTTCAGTTTGCTAAGATTCTTAACAATTTATTAGGCTTGCATCCGCTACAGCGAAAGCGATTGGAATATCTGTCATGCTGGTCATGCTATGCTTGGGGTGTTTAGTTTCTCACTCAAGACTGTGCGACGCTAGTGCACCCTAGCGTAGGACCGCTGAACAAGTTGTTTTATGTCAGTCGCTTGTCCGTGTGCTGCGGGACCCTTGATGACAAAGGTTTTTTTAAAACGATCAAATTAATTACTCAGAGATTTTATTTTTTAGATGTGGTACACTCAAACAAAAACTGAAATATTCTAGTTTGTGATGGTACCGATTTCAATTACAAATATTAAAATATATGTTAGTTACAGTTGAACTAATTTACCGAAATCCTTATGGGAAATCAAATTACGTATTTCATGTATATAAAATTAAAAAAACAACTTTATTATGGTTTATTATACTTTATATAGTAGGATATGTAGTGACAAACATTACTAGTGTTCATTTTGTTTTAGTAAATGTCTATATATTTTTGAAATAAGTAAAATGTGTCGCCGCTCCATGTTAAACTAGCGGGCAGCGCTGAGCTCGGGCGAGCTGGCTCCCGCCGCCTCTTAATCTGTACCAATAATATTAGTGAGTAAAGTGGTGTATGGATTTCAAAACCATTAATGTTTAATAGATATGATAATTGAACAATTATTTTTCGTAGCCAAGCAAGTGTACGGTCATTTGTACAATTACTACTTTACAGAAAACGGTCTCATTAGTCAGCCCGCAATACAGCAGTGTTTTGGTAAAGTATCCTACATTTTGCAGGCGTAGTTACGAGTGAAATAGTCTCCAGTTGTCCGCCGCACCGTTTGGTTAGGTCGGCCAAACCAAACTGTGCGACTCAGAGGCAAGTGGGAGGGATTGTTGGTCTCATGCTCCACCGGCCGCAGACCTTGCGGGAACTAGCGCGGGGGAGATTGACCGCGGTGGACCTAGGTATGACTCCCTTTTGATCTATTTTTTATGTTAACCTGTACATAGTTCGGAATAAGGTAATTTTCAAGGCAACACTTGTTGAATTTGATGTCTTCTATAATGTGTAGAATTTTTAATTTGGTCTTCCTAAATCTGTAGGCTATGTTAGCGTTGTACTTGAAGTTATCAATCATTTTAGCCTCTGGATTGCTTATATATTAATTGATATTATAAGGCCTTACCTTAGCAATCCTGTTTTTTGATCCGAAATTAATTTCGGGCCCGAAGGTCCATCATTAGTCGGAATCTAGTAGACCAAATTTTTCTAAAATAGAATCCACCCGTTGGGTTTTGTAGAAAGTTTCACAACATTTAAGACAATACAAGTCATAGTCAATGCGAAAGGAGTAAAACAATTAGGGTTAAAAACCATGGTTTTTATAATGTCAGATAACCTCACTTTGTTTAGAGAACCTGTTGCCGGCAACTGTCAAAATCAACGGGATTGTAGGTTATGTTGACTCCGGATTGAAATGATTCTGGTCTTAATTGGATCGAAGTGGACAGGTGTTTGATTGATTATTTATTTTCAGCAATGTGTCAAAAATTATGTTTGCTGAAAAATTGCGTTGGTCATTGAGGATTTCAGATGGGTTGGACTTGGTGTTGCTGTGTATGTGAAATTGTTCAATTATATCCAACATATTACTTTTAGATCCTTTATGTAAAATTTCGAGGTCTTGGTCTATTGTAGAATATGAATGGTTATTGTCTATAAGATGTTCGGCATATGTAGATTGGTTTTTGTGGGAGTTTTTGGGAAGGTGTTCCTTATAACGGACATTGAAACTTCGGCCCGTTTGACCAATGTAGTATTTTGGGTACGTGGCACATTTGAGTTTATATACCCCCGATGCGTCATGATTTGTTTTATTTCTATGTTTTTCTATGTTGTTTTATTTCACACTTCAGGAAGTGTGTTTATGGTGAGTTGAGAAAGGTGAATTGTTAAGACGTTAGCTTGTATGGAAACAATTGAATAAATAAATCATATTAATTTGTAGGTTATTGTTAAAATAGTAACCCAAACACTTACCTTGAATCAATGCGGACGTCGAAGAATCAAGACAACAATTCAATCCATAATATTCTAAGGAACAAAGGGTATCGAATCGCTTACAAATCTAAGAATACCCTAGCCCAAATCCTCAACAAACCAAAACATAGAAATAAAACAAATCATGACGCATCGGGGGTATATAAACTCAAATGTGCCACATGCCCAAAATACTACATTGGTCAAACGGGCCGAAGTTTCAATGTCCGTTATAAGGAACACCTTCCCAAAAACTCCCACAAAAACCAATCTACATATGCCGAACATCTTATAGACAATAACCATTCATATTCTACAATAGACCAAGACCTCGAAATTTTACATAAAGGATCTAAAAGTAATATGTTGGATATAATTGAACAATTTCACATACACAGCAACACCAAGTCCAACCCATCTGAAATCCTCAATGACCAACGCAATTTTTCAGCAAACATAATTTTTGACACATTGCTGAAAATAAATAATCAATCAAACACCTGTCCACTTCGATCCAATTAAGACCAGAATCTTTTCAATCCGTAGTCACCATAACCTACAATCCCGTTGATTTTGACAGTTGCCGGCAACAGGTTCTCTAACCAAAGTGAGGTTATCTGACATTATAAAAACCATGGTTTTTAACCCTAATTGTTTTATTCCTTTCGCATTTACTATGACATGTACTGTCTTAAATGTTGTGAAACTTTCTACGAAGCCCAACGGGTGGATTCTATTTTAGAAAAATTTGGTCTACTAGATTCCGAATGATGATGGACCTTCGGGCCCGAAATTAATTTCGGATAAAAAAAAAAACAGGATTGCTAAGGTAAGGCCTTATAATAACAATTTAAATCCTTTTACAACACCCCCCCAGACTATGAGACCGTATCTTAGGCAGGATTCGAACAGAGCATAATAGGCAGTCAGTACTGTAGCCTCCTCACTCATGTGCTTAATGATTCTACATCACATGGTCAGTTACTGTGCTCAACCAAGGCTGAAGAAAAAACTAAAATTTGAATAGCTTTATTGTGTACAAAGACCCTCTAATACAATAAACATGCATCGTTCATAGACGATGAAAATTACTACAGACTGGCTGTTAATAGGTAACATTTATCTTCTATATTTATAAAAATAGTAAGGCAGGTTGACAGCACCCTCCATACACATAAAAATTGTTAAGAAAACACTTGAAATATAAAATATTCTTCTAAATAAATAGTATCAAACTTTTTTCAATTGTGTTTAAAATTTGTAGTCTAATAAATGTGCAATAAATTTTGTTAGCTTAAACACTCAGAATGTCATCATATGTGAGAAATAACGATAAACAAAGGATTGACAAACAATATATAAATGGAACAGCATTCACAAAGAAAACATTATTTACATAAACATACGCTAAAATATAGATGATAAAGTGGCATAAAACAAAGGTTTGTGGAAGCAACTATCTACAAAACTGTGATACAACAGATAAATTAAAAACCTTCAATTTCATTGGTAAAATGTGCTTTATAGATTATGAGAATAACCTGGGCATGTCACTTCAACAAAGTTACAAGCAATTTAAAAAACACTTGTATAGATATAATTTTTCAGCTAAAATTTGTGTAATAAATGTCCACCGTGAATGCAGTCACCCAATATTCAGGCAAACTTACAAATGAACATCATACAGTCCTAAAACTAAAATGGTTTAAGGCAAAGTAATATAATAGCATATCTTATATCGATTTGCTTTAAATATCCTAAAAAGAGAACCTAGGCAACTTCCATGACACTGGATTTTTCAATGCCATTAACCATCTCTCTAGTCTCATGCATTTCTTCTAGTTTCCTTGCTACAACATCATCTTCTGTGGTCCCACAATCAGTCAATTTCATTTCTATTGAAGACTCTGAGTTGTTGACACTTTTGAATAATTTATCAGTGCTGTTTTCTGAATACGAAAGTTCAAAGTCATCCATATTTTCATCAGCACCAATTGCTGTTTTTGAACTTTCAATTTTTGAATCATTTACTTCTGCTTCTTTGCTACTTTCATCATCAATTTTGGTGAAAGGAATTTTGACTTCTGTATTTTTAACGACCAGACCATTATGGACACAGTTTTCTTTTTCTTTACACTCTGAATTAGGATTATTTTCGCCAATTTGTAAAGGAGTTGTACAATCAAAACCTTCCTGATTTTGTAAGAGGTCAGTTTCTGTACTATCCATTACATTCCTACTATCATTGGCATCTTCAATATTATCATCTGTTTTACATTCCATATAAGCTTCATTGTTACTTTTTATAGTCTTTGGTTCTTCAGTATTTCTTATCTGGACATTTCCAGTATCAAGATCAGCCTCATTAGCTTTAACAATATTAAGTTTGCTTTTATCCAAGTTACTTGCTACATCATTTCTTGCCTCAACAGTTTCAGGTAAGCTATTAGTTAATTTATTTAAGTCATTTTTCATATATGTTTCTTGGTCAGACTGATCTAGCGGTTTATCATTTAAATGATCGATAACCTCATATATAATCTCTTTGACCACACTTTCAGCAATGCACATTTTTGGTTTAGGCTTACAACTTACTTTATTCTTGGCCTCAGTCTTTTCAAGGGAAGTTATCAGTAATTCATCAACGGACAAAGGACGTTTCCTCCTACTGCTAACTTTCTTGACACTCTCGTTGTCATCTGCAAAGCTCTTGGACCTGCGTGTCCTCATCTTCGGTGTCTCTTGTGGCTTCAGAACGTTGTTGTTGATGGTCGAATCAGAACTGAGACTAGATGTTGTGGTGGAGTTATCACTCAGGTTTCCATCCACTTCTATTATAAGGGAGGCATCTTTAGCAACTTTCGTATCAATGCTGTCAACAGCTTTGTCCTAAAAAATAAAACATTTGTAAGGGTAAAATGAAATGTAATTTTTATATACAGGTAGGTATTAATTACGTTTGAGATGTTCCAAAATTATCCTCATTGTTTACTTTTGAATTTGTATGTAAGTTGTTTATAAACCATGTGTTATGTATCCAAACACCTAGGCCTACTATTAGCTCAATTAATACCTCTAAATTATCACATGTTTACATACAGTAAAAGAGCAAAAGGTTTCACCTATTGTAAATTTCTATATTTCACATTATCATCAAACACTGTCTTTTATTATTTAATAAGCTGAAATTTGTAATCAATGGAAGATATTTATACAGTTTGAATTATTTTACAAAATTATTTTTCTCTTTCACTTTCAAAAATATAATTAAAATACTCGATATAATACCAACCAATCATAACAGTGAATAGTGAGTGACATCAAGAAACCAGTGATAACCAATTGTTGCAACAGATGTATGAAATTTGACATCAAGATTTCAATTGCATAGTAAGTCATGAAGAAGCAAGAAAGGAATCTGATTTGAAAATTTTAATTGGTGATTTAACTTAACAGTATTTAAACCTCAAGATCTATCTCAATTACTTAATACCTATCATTTCTACATCAAGAAATATTTTGTGGTGAAGACTACTATAAACTTTTGGGTGAGATCAAACTGAACTTGTCTTAGGCCTACTTTGCTAAAATACTCACATTGCAAAATTTCTATTGACTTTTGCCGTTTTGAACTTTAACCTAAATTATCATTTTACTAAATTCAAAATTTTAACTTTCATCTTTTCAAAAGTGTATACTGTAGCTGTGAACTAGCATCAGCTGACTAGTGTCCTTTATGTTTACGATTTTGGATATTTCGGTTGTCATGGTGACTAATGGGTGTTGAGTTGAATTAATGTTTAGAGAAGGTTCGTTTTGTTGTCCTGTTTTTTAAAGTGTAAAATATAACTAAGTTGTAGAAAGTTCTGAAGAGTTTTATTTTGACACAAGCTATTTCGGCATGTCTGGAAACGGTACAAGATTTTCGGATTTGGTAAAGTTGTATGATGGCGAAGGAGACTTCTCGGAATGGCTGAAAAAGTTAGAGCTTGTATGTAAACTTCAGAAGGTTAAAGAACTACATCAGTGCTTCCCTTGTTTTTGTCTGGAGGAGCATTTGCCGTCTACGATGGGCTTACCGACGCAGTTAAGAGTGATTACTCCGCCCTGACCCAAGCTTTGCAGCAGGCTTTCTCTGTTAACTGTTTCCAACCGTATGAGGAGTTCATATCCAGACGTTTGCTTCCAGGAGAATCTGTTGATGTCTACGCATCTGATTTGAAAAGGTTGGCTAAATTAATAGATTCTTCAGTTTCTGACGAGTGGATAAAGAGTTCTTTTGTTCACGGACTACCCAGAGAAGTTCAAAATCAGTTAAAGGCGGCATGTTGTTTGCAAGACATGGAGCTGTCAAAAGTGTTAGAAAGGGCGAGAAGTTTAGTGAATGGAAGTGAATCCAATGTTGGAGCCGCCGCTCAGATGGAAGTGTCCGTAAATAAAAGACAGTATAGTAAAAAATGTTTTATCTGTAACTCGGAAGGACATCTAGCAAGATCATGCCCACAAAGAAAGCCAAGTAGCACCTCGAATGTAATTTGTTTCCGCTGTGGAGAAGCAGGACATTATGCTCCAAAGTGTTCACAGGCTCAAAAAAACGAGTAAAAGGGGCCACCCTTTGTTGCGCGGATGGCTATCCTTGTTTGACTGCGCAACCACAACTGCCGACGTTGATGGTAACTGTTGCTGGAACTAAGTGTTGTGCATTATTAGATACGGGGTGTTCAAGAACTATTATCTCACCGAGTCTTGTCAGGTCTAAGAAACTAATAAGGCCCACAAGTCAACGAGTGGTAATGATGAACGGGGACGTAGTAGACTGTAACTTAATGTGTGAGACAGAGGTGTCCGTTAGTGGGATTAACCTATCATTAAACTGTTTAGTTGCTCGATTATTGCCAAACTATCAGGTGCTATTAGGAATGGATGCGATTTCTGCAATGGGTGGAGTTACGATTCAGGGGGATGGTGGCGTAGAATTTAAAAAGAGTTTGTCGATTATTGCCAAACTATCAGGTGCTATTAGGAATGGATGCGATTTCTGCAATGGGTGGAGTTACGATTCAGGGGGATGGTGGCGTAGAATTTAAAAAGGGTTTGTGTACTGGAGCAGTGGCTGAATCTGAGCAAAAGGGTGACGGTGACCAGAAAATCATCAGGGAGATCGAATCCAAGCAAGAAATTAATATTGATAAGAAATCTGCAGAGAAAATCATTATTGAAGACTGTGATTTTAAGGCAGAATTTTTAGATGGAAAATGGACAGTGGAATGGAATTGGAAGGATGTGAACAGACTGCCTATGTTGGAAAATCAAGTAAAAATGTACAGAATTCCTGAGAATGCTACCGAAGCCTTCGAAACTGAAGTTGAAGAATGGATAAAAAGTGGTTGGCTGAAGCCCTATCATGGAGAGTTTGAAGGTGTGATTCCTTTGATGGCTGTCATACAGCAAAATAAGGATAAAGTGCGGCCTGTAATGGACTATAGAGAACTTAACCAATTCGTTTCAAGCCATACAGCTGGAAGTGAGGTTTGTAGTGAAAAGTTAAGATTGTGGAAACGATTGGGTGAACATGTGAGTACAGTTGATCTTCGTAAAGCGTACTTGCAAATTCATATTGCTCCACATTTGTGGAAATTTCAAGTTGTCAAATTTAAGGGTGAAAACTATTGTTTAACTCGACTTGGGTTTGGGTTAAACGTTGCCCCAAAGATTATGAGCAGTATTGTTAACAAGGTTTTATCGATGGATCCGATAGTTAGGAGTGCCACAGATTCATATGTCGATGACATCGTCGTTAATGAAGAAATCGTCAGTAGTGATGTTGTGATTAGATTGTTGGAAACATATGGTTTGACAGCAAAGCCGGCAGAAACGCTTGATGGAGGCAGAGTATTAGGACTAAGGCTGAGAAGAGCAGGATGTAAGCTAATGTGGTACAGAGATAACAAATTAAAACCTTTGGACCAAGTTAAAACAAAGAAAGATGTTTTCTCGTTGTGTGGGCAATTGATTGGACACTATCCAGTAGCAAGCTGGCTTCGACCTGCATGTAGTTTCGTTAAGAGACATTTGTCGGATCTGAAGTGGGATGATTTGATCAGTGAACGTGCGCAAACTATGTTAACAAATATTATGGATCGAATCGATGAAAGAGACCCAGCCACTGGCAAATGGGCTGTGTCCCCTGGAGAAGAAGGAAAAGTGTGGTGTGACGCAAGCAGTCTAGCGATCGGAGTTTGTCTAGAAATTGAAGGTGAGATAGTCGAAGATGCTTCGTGGCTGAGGAAGCAGCATGATTCAGCACATATCAATTTAGCAGAATTGGAAGCTATCCTAAAAGGAGTAAATTTGGCCCTGCGTTGGGGGTTAAAGAAGATCGTATTAATCACGGATTCAGCGACAGTTCATGCTTGGGTGTCATCTATACTGACGGGGGACCGTCCTATCAAAACACATGGGTTAAGTGAAGTTTTGGTTAGAAGACGATTAAGCCTATTTAAAGACATTATTTTGGAATGCGGTCTCAATGTACAAATAGAACTCATTAAGTCACAGTTCAACAAAGCAGATCTTCTTACAAGAGTGCCAAAAAAATGGTTAGCAAGAAACGAAGAGACTAGCATTGCACTTGTGTGTGAGAATGAGAGTGTGGACCAAAAGACATTGGTGAAACAGGTTCATGACTTGCATCATTTTGGTGTTAACCGTACTTTATTCACCGCCAGACGGTGTCACCCAGACATTAACTTTACCACAAAAGTTGTTGAAGAAGTTGTGAAAAGTTGTAAAGAGTGTCTGTCAATGGATCCATCCAGCATCAAATGGGAGCCTGGGTATTTGGATTGCCAGAACAATTGGTATAGGCTTGCCATTGACGTAACACACTATGGTCAAAGCAAGTTCATGACCATTGTGGACTGTGGTCCAAGTAGGTTCTGCATTTGGCGCTGGATCCCAAAAGAGACGAAAGATCAGATTTCTAAAGTGTTGTTGGAATTGTTTACTGATCGAGGGCCACCACATGAGATTTTGATGGACAATAGTGCAACATTTCGATGCGAAGAGATTACTCAGCTCTGTGATAAATGGGGTATTAAAGTTGTGTTTAGGTGTGTCAACCGGCCAAGTGGAAACGGGATAGTTGAGCGAAACCACAGAACAATCAAGCGTATGGCCGCAAGAACTAAAGGGAGTATCCAAGAAATGGTCTATTGGTACAATTTGACACCTAAAGAAGGATTAGGTGGCGATTCATCGCAGAGTTCCCAGATTTTTTCGTACCAATGGCGATGTAAAGGTGAACCTGTAAAAGGTGAAGTGTATGAAGGGTCACATTTTACAGTAGGTGAACGTGTGTATGTCAAGCCGCCAAACCCATCCTGTACTTCGAGATGGAAGGAAGGAGTGGTTACTGGACAGTTTTCACCCAGAAGTGTTGAAGTAAATGGCAGGCCTCATCACATAGCAGATGTGCGAAAAGTAGTTGAAAGTAAAAATGAAAGTGTAAGTTGTGTCGGCACCTCGAGGGCGTGTGGTGGTGTTGACACCACGGGGGCGTGTAGCTGTGAACTAGCATCAGCTGACTAGTGTCCTTTATGTTTACGATTTTGGATATTTCGGTTGTCATGGTGACTAATGGGTGTTGAGTTGAATTAATGTTTAGAGAAGGTTCGTTTTGTTGTCCTGTTTTTTAAAGTGTAAAATATAACTAAGTTGTAGAAAGTTCTGAAGAGTTTTATTTTGACACATATACCTAATTGAACTGTAACTTGTGATGAACATTCGGCTTATGCCTATCCAAAATCACATAAGCCTACTTTGAGCCGGCACGATACTCCTGTCCTAGAACCCTGAGATAAGAGTTTCATCTAAATTTATAACCATAT